GCAGGGCCACCCCTCCAGACCAGACAGGCTCAGCCAGCTCAGGTGGATGAGACGTGGGCCAGAGAGCAGCCTCTCTGGAGATAAATGCCCTACTGCTCCCTGGCTGAGCCCTTGCTAAGTGACCACCTATCTGAGCCTCAGTTTCTTCACTTGTACAATGGTGACACCTACAGGACCAACCGCACTGGGTAAGTAAGCTAAACGAGCTGACATGTGGCAAGTGCTCAACCAGATCTGGTCCTGGGGAACCCTCGGATGGTGGCTGCCATGATCACAGCCCCAGAATTCGTGGGGAGAAGTGCGTGAAACCCAAGGACTGCCCACAGCTGGGTGGGCGGGATGTCCTGGGTGCCTGCCTTTTTGGACCACAGAGCTGGGCCAGCTTCAGCCTTCCCAAGAGGGTGGTCAACCCCTCACCTTGTAGCACAGAGTGGCCAGGTTGGAGGGTGACTCCTCCCGCACAGCCCGGATCTCTGCCGCTGGCACCAGTGCAAAGACATCCTGCACCGAGGTGGCTGTGTCTGCCCAGAACTGGTCCCAAAAGGCGTCATCGGTGGCTTCCACGGGCTGTGGGGGAACCCAGGGTTCAGAGCTGCACAGTCCCTTGCCAATGGACTCACAGTTTGCCCAACCCGTAGCCAAGGAAGCCCCTGAAAGGAACACCACTGCCCCTCTACTCCATCCCTGCTGGTGCCCAGGAGCCATCCCATGTGGGGGACGTCCTTCAGCCACCACGAGCCCCAGTCGGCACAGACAGGCTGGGAACATGTGGGGCACGGATGATGAGGGGTCAGCTGGGCATTGGGTTCAGCACCCAACTCATGCCCGGAGGTAAGTCACCATCCTCCTCTGGCCAGGCCTTTCCACCTGGGGACCTCCCCAGGCCACATCGCTAGGACAAGTACCCGGGGACCAGACCAGGTTGTGCCCCTCCCTCTCAAAAGAAGACGAGAGGCATGGACTCACTTTCATTCACCCAAGCTGCCCCCCTCGGCCCCAGTCCCCACCCTTCCCCGCCACATCCAACGGATATCAAATCTGAAAGAGTCGACCCAGGGCTCTCTGACTGCACCTGCTCCCCAGGTGCAAACCAGCCTTGCAGTTCAGGCAGCTCTTGCCAAGGCTGCACCTCCACATTTACCTCCTCAGTCCAGTCTCCACGCTGTCCCCAGCCCGCATTCGAAGCACAGCGCCAAAGACATAGGTCCCTCAACAAAGACCTTTAGGGCCCCCCCTCTGCCTGCGGGATTGAGTCCAGACCTCAGCCAGTCAGCCAAGAGCTTATACCTAAACACGCCTACATACATACACCAGTGAAATCGCACGGGCACAACCACGGGCACAACCACGGGCACACACGCTTGCATTTACTATCGCTACAACACAGCCCTGACATACCTGCTCCTCGCCTTGGCTCACTGTCCCCTCTTCCCAGCCTGCCCACCCCGCCTAAGACACTCCACAGTCTCATCAGCCTTATTGAGGCGATACGCTTTAAACACACTTATGCCTTTTGAATCATGTGGGCAGCCAATGAGAATCATAAACTCTACTTCCGGAAACCTTTCTTCAGGAAAGAACAGAAGATGTGTACGTGTAAGGATGTTTCCTGAAGTGTTATCACTGACAACGGTGAAAAGTTGGAATCGACCTAAATAACCAACGATCGGGGAATGCTTAAAATTTTAAGGCCCTTTTATACGACGGAATGTTACGCGGCCGTCAGAATCACATTTTCAAAGAATACTGAAGAATGGAAAATGCTCACAGTGCCATGGTATGCGAAAAAGACAAGCTCTAAAACCACGAGATGCTCACGATTTTGTGTTAAATGATATAGTAATAAAAGCCCGGAAGAGCATGACAGGATGTGCACAGCAGTGATCTCTCTGGGTGGTTTTTATATTTTTCTGTAAGTGCAGTATTTACTACTTTTTCCTTTTGAATGTCCCAAAAGGTGTCATCGGTGGCTTCCATGGGCTGTGGGGGACCCTGTTGAGAGGCCAGGGTGCCCAGGCGCTCTTACGCTTCTGAAAAGCACTTCCTGCAAGAGATCTTCCAGTTGCTCTAATCGACCTAGCCTTTCCCTTCTCCGAAAGGGCTGCTAAAGGACCCCACAGATCCATACGTAATATGCATGGTTCTTGTCATCAGAAAATATTTCCCTTCTCCGAAAGGGCTGCTAAAGGACCCCACAACCACCACGGATTCATACGTAATATGCATGGCTCTTGTCATCAGAAAATACACCTCCTGTTAAAAAACAATTCTGTCCTCTGAAGCCACTTCTTGCAGGAAGTCTCCCGGTGCTCCAGACCGAGAGGCTTGCTCCCATCTTGAAATCCTGCTCCCCAGGGCCACGGACACTTCATAGTCCCTTCCTCCCCGGGCCTCAGTGCCCTGGCCTCGAGGCCCCCTCAGTCCCTGACCTCGCAACTGAGGCATATGGCATCTCCTCAACCAATACAGCCCAAGGCTGTAATTAGTCCTAGAGACCCCCTCAGCCCAGTTACCAGGCAGGGCTGAGGGACGGTGGGGCTGTCCAAACTCAGGGCTGGGGCCACAAGGCTCACCAAGGTCCAGGTGCAACCTGGCCCACTCCCCAAGCAACGCCCCCCTCCAAGGGCAGTGTGTTGCCCTGGCCCTCTGGACAGGCCTGGCACCAGGGCCAGCTCAGACCCAGAACTGGTGGAGCGAGTTAGCTCAGGGAGAGGGACAAAGGCCAAAGGAGGGGCCCTGGGCTGGGTTTGCTGGCCCTCAAGCTCTCAGCCAGGATAACCCTCTGACACTCACTGGGGTCCAGGGGTGCCACACCCCAGTGTGGGTGTCAGGGTGGGGAAGGACATCCCGGGAAACGTGCAGAGTCCCCCACAGTCTGGGAGCACCTCTGGGCAGGTCCCATCTCTACACTTTCCCCACCTCCCAGGAAGTCACTGCCCCCTGAAAGGGGCAGAAATTCCTCTAAGCGCCAAGTGGACCTGACCTCTGACCTAGTTCATCAGGCAAGGGTCCTCAGGGTAGTCCAGCTGGAAAGCAGAGGAGTTGGCCTTGAACTTCAAGAGTGGAGACTTTCACCTCCCCTTTCCCCAAATGGGCCTCCTCTCCTGGTCCCAATATGGCTTGGACACTTCGATTTGGTGACCATTACCTGACCATACCAATATCTGATGTTACAGATATTGATGAGGATCACTAGGGCCCCTTAGACTTCTGAGGGGAGAGACATGGCTTTGCTCCTGCCTCAGTTACCCCCCACCCCCACCTCCAGGCTCCACTCAACCCAAGGAAGCTCTAGAATCTAGCCAGTTTCTTTGAAAAGAGTATTTTTGCTGGAATGGGGCACACCCCTGCGGCCAGGGGCACAGGGCCTGAGCCATGCTGGTGGGAAACCAGATTTATTCCTACCTTGCTCTGCCAGGGCCTGTTTGGGCCAGACCCCTCGCTGGTCTGAGGGACAAGCTGCATCTTTTGAACCTCCCTTGCGGGGAGGAGGGAAGGACCAGCAGAGCTCCAGCCTGCTAAGGGTGACCTGTTCCGGAGGACAGTGTCACCATGGCATTCACATGCACATACATGCACACACATGTAAACGTGGACCCGCCAGGTCTCATCTGGCCAATGACAGAGAACCTCCAAATAGGCAGGACCTAAAAGAGGGTCCCAGATCCAGGAATGTCCCCACTCCAGGGCCCCACCCACCCGGGAAAGGCTCAGGAAACACAGCCAAAGCTGCTGGCGCTCAGGACAGGGTCAGGCCTAGCCCAGGGCAGGAAAAAAACAGGATGCAGCGCAGGAGGCAGGAAGGCCAAGCAGAGGCAGCTCAGGCCACAGGCAAGGTGCTGGGTCGGCTTGTCCGGTGCCCAGAGCTAAATTCTGTGTTCACGGCACAGCCTCTGAGGGCCTGGAACCAGAGGACGCCCTCTGGACAACTGGCCTGAATCTCCTTGGGGACACCAAGTGGCAAGGTCTGAAATGATCATCTGGAATCTGGTCCTCACTCTCGAGCCGCCCAAGCCAGGTCACTACACAGGGCCTGAAGCTTTAGCCCCTGAGGGTCTCTCCCTCCAGATGGCCCAGGTCCCCTCCCACCTGCAGGGCCCCAGTGCTCCCCGGAGGGAGACCCAGGCTGGTCTCTGCCTCTGGACTTGTCCCAAGACAACGCTCTGTCCTCAGTCAGTTCCATCATTGTATTTTGAGGAAGGGGGGCTGGAGCAGGTAGGAATCTAGTCCATCCAGATCCTTTGGGACCTGGCTGAGCCAGTCCTGCTGGCCCAGCAAAGGACCCTGGCAGTTGAGCCAACAGCCCATAGTTCATTTCTCCAACAAGGTGTTTCCCTCTACAGGTAGGTAAACAAGGGAGCCTCCCTCCCTCCTCTCCCTGTGGCCCCACTTTGAGGGGCTGGCCCACCTGCCATCCACAGACCTAGAAGACTCAACCCATGCCAGAAATAAACAAGAGCCTTGGGGGAAGTGGCAAGAAGTAAGGTCTAGTTTCTATCAAACTCCAGCGGCCATGGGCATTTGCAGGCACCTGATTTTTCTCGCGTGGGAACGAAAAAGGGTGGGACCAAAGGTCTGGCCTCTGGAGCTGTGAGCGGCTGGCTGTGGAGAAATGGCTCCCTCAGGCCCACTTTAACCGCCAAGAGCAGGAGAGAGCCCCAGGGAGGAGCAGCATGGGAGTGGGGGTGGGGGTGGGGGTAAGAGGAAAGTCCCAGATAGCAGCAGGTCCTGACTCCCTTGAAAGTGGGGGATCTTGGGAGTCAGGGCTGGCATTTCTGTGGCCAGAATGGCCTGGTTCAAAGCTGAGGAGACAAAGAATGGGCAAGGAGGCAGCCTTGCTAGGGCTATGCCCTGTTTGTCGGGGGCCAGGAGGTGGACTCTGTGCCACCTGTGGACCACTCGGGGGAGTGTGCAAGCATGGGCTAGGCTGCAAGACACTCCCAGGCCCCACATCAGCAGAGCGAGGGCAATCTGGAGGTTTCTCAGCCCCCACCCAGGGAACAGAGGGTACCTGCAAACACGGCCATCCCCACCGCTGGACCTCAGAGGAGAAGCCCCCTGCAGCAGCGGTCCCAGCTGGGAAATTGGACTCCATGGGCCCGGGGACAGGTCCCCTTGCCAGGCTGCAGCGCTGCTCGCTACTCCGTGCATGTCCCCAGGCAGACCTGGGCCTTCCCAGCCGTGGGCAAGGACCTGGGCCCAGCGAGGCCTCTGCCTCCGCTCACCAGCTGTTTCCCCGACCCGGGCGGGCGCCGGCCCCGCTTTGTTTGCTTTGAGTCAGCCAGGTCTGTGCGTCCTGGACCCGCGGGCATCGAGGGGCAGGGAGGGGATCAGGGAGGTGGATGGGTGGGTGGAGGCGGGGAGAGGCTCAAGATGCAAGGCTGGAGGAGCGGAGGGGGGTGGGAGGAGAGACAGGGGGCGGACAGCGGCGACGCCGGCTCGAAAGTAGGCACACGTCAGCCTAAGGTGGCAGCAGCGGCTGCAGGGAGAAAGATGCTCCCGGGAAAGGAGGCTGGAGATGGGGGGATTAGGGGACTGAGCCCTGGGATACAGGCCAAGGTGTTCGGCTCCGGCCCTGGCCTCAGTGTCACCCTCCAGGCCAGCCGGTACCCCCATCTCAGGGTAAGCCAAGTTCGCACAGCCGCCCCGGTCCTGCCCAGCCCCCAGCCCGGCAGGTGGGTCTCCGGAGAGGCCGGGGCCCCGGGCGCACCTGCGTCTTGGTGGTGAGCTGGATCACCGCCTTTCGGAAATTCAGCTTGGAGTCGGCCGACCCCATATCGTTGGAGCCCGTTCCGGCCCCGACTCCCGCCCCGGCCACGGCTCGGGATCCAGCTCCAGCTCCGCGGCCCCCGCTGCTCTCGCAGGAGCTGAGCGGCGAGCCCCGCCCACTGGCCAGGCGTCGGTCCCGCCCCTTCTTGGCTCCGCCCCGCGTGGCTCCGCCCCCCAACACCTGCCGCTCTGAGCTTGGTCCTCTCCTGACGCGCGGAGTCAGTCTTTCTGACCTAAAGCAGACCTAAAGTAACCGCACGCCCTTCTCCACCCGAGCCGATGCCTCCGCGCCCTTCCTTCTGCGTCCGAGCGTTGTCCCGGTCCCGCCCCTTCTTGGCTCCGCCCCGCGTGGCTCCGCCCCCCAACCCCTGCCGCTCTGAGCTTGGTCCTCTCCTGACGCGCGGAGTCAGTCTTTCTGACCTAAAGCAGACCTAAAGTAACCGCACGCCCTTCTCCACCCGAGCCGATGCCTCCGCGCCCTTCCTTCTGCGTCCGAGCGTTGTCCCGCTCCATCTCTCCATTCTCACCCAGCCCCAAGGCCCACAACCCTCCCGGCCTCCTGGCCCCGCCCCCAACCTCACCATTAGTCCCCACGCCATCACGGAGAAAGGGCCCACACTTTCTCAGCCAGCCCCCGCCCTTGAGTTTCTCTCCGTCAACCCCTGTCCTCCCCATTTTCTTTTCTGAGCATCTGCTCCCCTTTTTGTGATCTGTCAAACCCACATATCCAGACAGCCCCAGGCTCAGCCGTCCGTTCTGTGGAAGGGAGACTCACTCAGTGCCCCAGATCCAGGAAAGCTGCTCGCGGGCCTGATCAGAGCAGGACGTCCTTCCTCGTCCCACAACTCCTTTCTCGCCACTCGCCCTCCCCGAAAATCCTTTTAGGTTCATCCATTTCAACAAATGTCGAAGGGCTGGTACTTAGCAACACTATCAGGGACCCGGGCATAGGAGCTGAAGTCACAGGTCCTGCCTTTTATGAGCAATTAGCTAGGGAGAGAATCAAGGAAAGAATCAGCTATGGTTCAGCTTAGTAAGCATTGATAGAGGTAAATTAATAATAATAATTAATGATAATAATAAATAATAATGTGACAACAATATCTCTAACAACAAAAATCTACCTCTAAGGTAAGTATTACCCATATTTTTACACTTGGGGAAACAGAGACTCAAAGCATTTAAGTTACTTTCCCAAAGTCACACAACTAGTAAGGAACAAAGCTAAAAAAGCAAATCCAAGTGTGGCCCTAAAAGAGGCTACACTTTTTCCACAATATCATCTTGCATGCTATGTCCGGAAGGTTCTGGAAATTGTAGCTGCTTCAAAAGGAGGAATTCCGCAGGTGAAAAATGAGGGACGTGCCATCCAGGCCGCAAAAGGGTGGCACGAAGGCAGCATAGCAGGAGTGGAGAGGTGGGAGGAGTCACCATGTCACCAAATGAGCAGACTGGACAGAATAGCTCTGTCCTTGCTCCAGAGGTGTATTTTCCCTGCCCTAGATGAAATCCTGGGCAGCCTCCATGGCTTTTCTAATTACTCTGAGTTAACAAATGAATGGTACCTTTATTCGGCATTTTTAAAATGCCCCAGTCTAGCTCAGAGTGACAGTAAAACTCCGAATCTTAGACATTAGAGAGATGCGAATTGAAACCACGGTATGATCATCATTACATATCTACTAGGACAGGTTAAAAAAAAATCTGACATACTAAAACTGGCAAGGATAGGGAGCTTTTATATTTTCTTAGGAAGTTAAAAATACAATTACTATATGACTCAGTAATCCATCCGTGGTATTTACCCAGGAGAAATGAAGACATACATCCACACAAAAAGTCTGTGTAATGCTTATAACAATTTCATTCATAATCACCTCAAACTGGAAATAACCCAAATGTCCATCATCTGGTGAATATACAGATTGTGGCTCCTCCACACACAGAGACTAGTACTCAGCAAAAAAAATGAGCTACTGATTCATGCAGGAATAACGTGAATTGTCTCAAAAGCATAGTGCCAGACACAAAAGGCAACTGTATTATATCATTTATACGACATTCTGGAAAAGGCATAACTTTGGGACAGATCCGTGGTTGCCATGGACCAGAAGCAGGATAAGGGGGTTGACTACCAAAGGATAGGAGGAAGTTTGGGAGATGATGAAAACATTGTGTTCGATTGTGGTGGTGGTTCCATGACTGTATATGTTCATCAAAGTTCATATAACCACCTGCAAGGGGTGAATTTTACTGTACATAAATTATACCTCTATAAACTTGACTTTAAAAGAACAAAAACTCAGAGCAGATGCTAACTGTCCATTCTAAGGAAGTAATTGTGAGCCCGTTGGTCTTGCCATCACTCAGAGCCATTTCCGTGGTTTGCAGCCAGGGACTTCAAATGCCACTGAAATATTACTGATCACCCATGGACCTCGCTCTTCACATCAGTTTTCATGGGAGTGATTTACATGAGTCCATTTAACCTTATCCAACCTCAGGTGGTCTCCCATTCATTGGACAACCTGCTCCTCAGAAAATCTTTTTTTTTCAGAATATCTTAATTTGATGACTCCCTAGTAGGTTCTTAGCTATGGTTTCCCATGTGAAAAACAACATGTCCTCCTTTTATGCCCAGTATAAACAAAGAGTCGCTGGTCTGTGGATCTCACTGCCGTCCATGGAGAGCTTTTTTTTATGAATTCAACCATCAATCATGCAGCAAACATTGACTCAGCACCTACTAAGTGCCAGATACTTTGCAAGGTGCCAAAGCCTGAGCTACAAAGGCAAGTTCCCACTAGAGAGAGAAGACACACAGGACAACAATACAGGCAATAGAGAGTTCTGGGGCCGAGATTGGGAGTCTGTCCAGAGCCCTGGTGGGAACTGGTGAGGGAAGACTCAATAGAGTTGGGAAGGCACGGCTGAGGTTTGGAGGATGACGGAGAGTATCGGTTAGGGTCCCAACAGACAGAACATTCAGAGGACTAAGCAAAGAGAGTTTGATCGAGAGGTGATTTACAGGGAGACAGAAACCAGCAAGGGCTGCAAAGCACTCTGGGGCTAGAAGCAATGGGGAGTCTCCGCCATCCTTAAGCCTGAAGGGGCGAGGGGAGGAAAGGTTGCCAGAACCCAGAGGAAGAGAGCCCAGCTGTAGGAACAGGCTGACAGGAGCGGCGGCCTCCCAGGGTCTGGAAGGGAGGCCGCTGTTGAATAGATACCCCAGCCTCACACTTCTCCTGCCCCACCCCATTTCCCATTTCCCGCTGGGCTTCCGATCAGCAGACCCACAGACAGCCAGAGAGCAAGGCACCCACGCATGCAGCTGACAAAAGCTTCAGCCTCCCGGGCACGGAGCAGATGGAGATGATGGACAGAGATCTGAAAGGGCAGATGGAACATGTTCCGCATCCAGGCGGGCAGAGCGAGCAGGGCAGCCCGGAAGTGTAGAGAGCCTGGTATAACCAGAGAATGGAAACACCTATTTGCAGTGAAATGCAGAGTGACAAGAGATAAAGCTTGAGAGGTGAACCAGGACCAGAACGAACATCCCGTTAAGGAGCTTTTACCTTATTCTATGAGCAATGAGGAGCCTTTGAAGAAGGGGAATGATGTCGGATGTCATCGTGTCTTAGCAAAGTCATTCTGGCTGCTGCAGGAAAGATAAAGTGACCTGAACACAGGGAAGCCAGCTGGGCGATGAAGTGAGAGATGACAAGTGTTAAATGAGGCAGTCACAGGGGGGATGGAGACGAAGGATGCAGGTGATGCTGGCAGGTGGAATCTTGGAGCTTGGTCGTCAGTTTGATGCATGTTCTAGGTACTCGTGCTGCCTCCCCACCAAACTTGGTGTAAAACAACAAACACTTATTATAAATTCGTGTTCAGTAATTCAGACAGAACCCAGCTGAGGTGGCTTGTGTCTGCTCCACGATGTCTGGGGTCTCAGCTGAGAAGACCAGAATGGCTAGGGGAGAAATTCACTTTGAACAACTGGGAGCTGGAAGCATCTGGAGGCTTCTTCACTCACATATCTGGCATCTGGGTGGGAGAAAAAGGCTGGGCTCAGCTTCGGCTGAAGACAGAATCATCAACGTGGGGCCCCTGCATGTGGCCTGGCCTCCCACAGCGAGTCTCTGGGCTCTGAGAAGGAGTGTCCCAAAGGGCATAAACACAAGAAGGTGTCCCAAGAGAAAGAAGAGGGAGCTGCGTGGTTGTTTAGCCCGAGAATAACATACAGTCACTTCCGCCATACTCGACTGGTGAAAGCAATCACAAGCCCATCGGATCTGAGGGGAGAGGCCCCTACCTCCCTGTGGAAATGTCAAAGAAGTTGGCGCCCTGTTTAAAACTGCCACATTGCAGGTGATTCTGCCGTCCACACTCCCCCCAACCCCCAGGCCCAGTCCTTTTCCCTCCTGACCTTTGTCTCTAAGTCTGCTCACCTCAGTAAACGGCATCGCCCAGGGACTCAAGCCAGAAATCCAGGGTCACCCTTGATGCCTCTCCTCTTGTCACCTCCGTGTCCAATCCACCACCGTCTCCTGCTGATGTTATTCCCCAAATGTGTATACTATATTTCCTACCCTCCTCATCTCTACTGCCCCGCCTTTGCCAGGGACCCCATCATCTCCCACCTACAGCAGCCTCCACTCCCGCCCCCTCTAATCAATTCTCTACAGAACAGCCCAGAGTAGTAAAACGCAGCTCGCAACACTCCCCCACTG